TTTTGGGGAGTGGTCGTCAATGTCTCCAAGGCGCAATGTCCTCAAATTTTTTGACATCCGGAGCAACTTCGGATGTAATCAAAACAAAAGAGGGACATTTGTGGGAGATTGTTCGAACTTATTAATTACATATTCTTGATATGTAATTTATTTATCATTCTCTTCTCCCTATAGATATTTTGGACTTAATATAATTAATAATATTGTTAATTTTTTCTCTCGACATTTGAGATGTATTAAAAAAATTTCGAGTTTCTCTCGAGACTTGAGACTAAATTAAAAAATACCTGTTTGGTCTCGAGATAAAAAATAATAATAATAATAATAATAATAATAATAATTTTCAAGTCTTAGGACGATTTCGGGACTACTGATTTAATCATTGCTAAGTCCTGAGGCTTAAAAATGATTTAATTATGTTTAAGTCTCGTGAGAAATTCGGGACTACTCTTTTTATCATTTTTAAGTCTCAGGAGAAAATTTGATTTCCTCTCGAGACTTGAGATGAACTGAAAAAATATCTATTTGGTGTCGGGATAAAAAATTAACATTGATTAAATAATTTTCAAGTCTTAGGACGATTTCGGGACTACTGATTTTATCATTTTTAAGTCTCGGGAGAAAATTTGAATATCTCTCGAGACTTGAGATGAACTGAAAAAATACCTATTTGGTGTCGGGTTATAAACTTGAGATTGACAAAGTAATTTTTAAGTCTCGAAATGATTTCGGGACTTCTGACCTCATTGTTAGGTCCCGTGACTTAAAACTGAGTTAATCCCTATCAAGTTCCGAGACTTAAAAATAATTAAATCATTTTCAAGTCTCGGGACTTAGCAATGATTAAATCAGTAGTCCCGAAATCGTCCTAAGACTTGAAAATTATTTAATCAATGTTAATTTTTTATCTCGACACCAAATAGGTATTTTTTCAGTTCATCTCAAGTCTCGAGAGAAATTCAAATTTTCTCGTGAGACTTAAAAATGATAAAGTGTGTAGTCCCGAATTTGTCACGAGACTTGAAAATAATTAAATCATTTTTAAGTCTCGGGACTTAGCACTGATTAAATCAATATTTCCGAAATCGTCCTAAGACTTGGAAATTATTATTATTATTATTATTATTATTTTTTTTTAATAAAAAATTAACATTCAAAAATTATTTAATCAATGTTAATTTTTTATCTTGAGACCAAATAGGTATTTTTTAATTAGTCTCAAATCTCGAGAGAAACTCGACATTTTTTTAATACATCTCAAATGTCGAGAGAAAATTCGGACTTTGTACACGTCAATTTTTTCTACCGAGAGAAAAAATCAACAATATTATTAATTATATTAAATCCAACATATCTATAGAGAGAAGAGAATGATAAATAAATTCCATATCAAAAATATGTAATTACTAGGGCATTATGCGCGCTACCGCGTGCGACGACCTTTTCCAGTGAGCGCTGTAGCGCACAAAAATTTTGAATATGCCGTTTTGGGGTTTTCCATTCATAGCTTAAAAACTAAATGAGATATCGACTTGGTGTCTATTCCAATCGATTCATGGGGCAATGTCATGTCTACTGAGTTCTAGAAAATGGGTCTGATGTAGTTAAAACATGTTTTTTCGAAGTTTTAACTACTTTTAAGACATGGCCAAAAATATTAAAAATGCCGTTTTGGGGTTTTTCATTCATATCTTGAGAAATAATTGAGATATGGACTTGCGGAAGGACATATCCATGAGGGGAGTACATGATCATCGTTGAAATTCCCTCGTACATTTGCATGAGAAATCACATATAAATGAAGAACATTGAAAACGACATTGGCTCTTGTACAGACGATTTCCTTGTCAAAATAAACGGTTATAACTACACGTGGACTGGAGCGTATCTCGAAACAAATGAAAAATTAACATTCTCGTTGACATGGAAATCACTGATTGATCCATCAACCAATCGGAAGACGAATAAAAAGTTAACCATCAAAACAATCATTCATTGTCAATCAACTTTATGATAAAGGAATAAGTTCGAACAATCTCCCACAAATGTTCCTCTTTTGTTTTGATTACATCCGAAGTTGCTCCGGATGTCAAAAAATTTGAGGACATTGCGCCTTGGGGACATTGACGACCACTCCAGTGAAGGCTTTCGAGACTTGATTCAAGTTTTTTTGAAGAACTTATAATTTAAGTTGATTGAATCTTGAATGGAAATTTGTAAATTTCAATTCAAGTTCCTCGGGTCTCAATTCTGTAGTTTGTTTTACTCATCGATTCTACAGCCCTCTCCCTTTGTATCATTAAAGTTTGGAATACATGCCACCGCCTCGTTACCATGTAAATTCAAATTCACATGTTGACGAGTTGACTGTACTCAATTTTTCATTTTTTTTTATTTATTTATTTTTATTGCCTTTTTTCTGTGCACTGCAGTGGCATGGGTCGGCGGGGGGGGTCAAAATTTTACTAAAGGAAGGGGCCTCTTCCTTCAGTAAAATTTGGAACCCTCTCGATGCATGCCTCTGCACCACACAGAAAAAAAGGCAATACAAATAAATCAATTTAAAAAAAATGAAAATCAATATATAGAACCAATAAATAAATAGAACGAACAAACAATCAAATTATTAATGTTTAATGAATTTTTCGCATAATTTGAAAATTAAAAAAAAAGTACAGTCCGTTTCCAAAGTATTACCCTCCGTCTGCCAGAATCGTCTATTAGCTTCAGGCTCATAAGAAAAAGCGAGAGAATTTCGAAGAAGAAAAACAAAAAATGAGTCAATTTGGGAAGAATTCATTGGAAGACTCCGCGTTCTGCTTGGCCAGATCCAAATGAAAAAGTAATCCGTCAAATACCACTCGACCATCGAAATTAATCGGATATTTTCCTCATGTTTTCCTGTGTAGCAACGATCGGGAGAAGTTTCGCGCAAAAATCCCTCCCGCTGCACGCTCGGGATTTTTATATGTGAAACTTCTCGCTCTCTCGTCGCTACCCAACAAAAAAATCGGGAAATATCCGATAATTTTGAAGGTCTTGTGATATTACTACTGAAAAATTATGTACTTTTGCGGAAAAATTACGACAATTCGCGTAAAAATTGCCGTCCGTACACTGAGAAAAAAAAATGATACAAATTATCCTGAAATCTGGATAAAAATTAGCAAAGATCTGGGTGAAAATGTGTACTGAAATTTTTACCTTTCAGTGTACTGAAAGGTAAAAATTATCCGAAAGAAGAGTAAAATCTATCCTACATATTATAAATTTTATCGGTCTTGTAATAGTTTTTGTCCTCGTCAGGTATAAATTACCCTTCCAGCCGGATAGAAATCATCCATGGAATATCAATTTTTGTCACCTTCCGTATAAAAACACGTCACAAAATACAATTTTATCAGGATTTCAGGATAATTTGTATCATTTTTTTCTCTCCGTGCACAGTAATTTTTCACCAAACGACATTTCGCCCCAGATTTACCTGACTTTTCACGTAATTGTTACTCAACTTTTTTCTCCGTGTAAAGGCCACAATTCAAGTCAAACGACAAGATAAAACTTTAATTATTTCATCAACCGCTTCAATTATTCATCAATTTATTCTTCATGGGCCATTCTGGGGTTATCATCAGCAATTTTACTCCACAATTAATTAACACATTTTCAATTCTTTTGCCAACGTTTCGTGTGTTAAATACACTCCTCATCAGGGTAACATTCATTAATTTTCTAAATCAAAAAACAACAAAATTTATAACAAAACTATTGTAATTATTCAATAATTGAAATTTTGTTGTTTTTTGATTTAAAAAATTAATAAATCCTGATGAGGACTGTATTTAATGCTCGAAACGTTGGCAAAAGAATTTAAAATGTGTTAATTAATTGTGGAGTAAAATTGCTGATGATGACCGCAGAATGGCCCATGGAGAATAAATTGAAGATAAAACTTCAAATTTCAGCCCCTGAATACCTGCCACCACCACCGACCGCCTCGAAATAAATATTTATTCGTAGCAAAGGCGTTGTTCCGAACTAATGATTTCTGTAACCACCTATTCTACAACCCCCGCCCCTCGCCTGAGTTAGGATTTGCCCCCCCCTCCCCCCCAATACATTCAACACTCAATACATCAGCGTGTGCAGCCAAACATTTGGAGCTTCTGGAAATATTAAAATATTCGTCATCGGGTTTAGCATTGCTTCACTATCCGTGAAAGAATGATGATCTCATTGTCGACAACGGAGAGTTCCGAATTTGAGAAAAATAACAGAGTAGAAGGGTTTATACGAACATTCAGCAGTACTGAGACATTATAGTCTACAGGGTCGTGTCTTTATTAAATGATTGATTCTTACAGAGAATGGAAAATCAAAATTCGTGTTTATTGTAGCTGTTCGATATAGGAAGGAAATTAGCTCACCTACTTTCATCTCTAAGTACATTTGATTCATATTATTCATTATGGAATATATTAATAGGTTATGGGGAAACTATCAATGTATACTTTAGTTCAACATCACAGTAACGATGAATGTCTCTGGTAGCGGCTCTATTGGCGGTAATCTTTGATGACCTGCCAGTGGCCAGAAGGGCATGCGATAACACTTCGCAGATACCTCACTCAATGCGATGGGTATCAAATCTACACTCAAATTGGAACATTTCCAGCTGCCAATTCGAGTCGAGTCAATACCACAATTGAACCAGATTCCAACATAATCAAATTTATTGACAATCAAATAGTAATTTCTCTCGCCATGATCACTCACGATTACTATATTGCGAATAATACAGATCGAGGAGTCATCCAAAATGCAGCAATTGTCATGATTGTTAACACCGAGAGTGAATCTTGCAGTTTTCAGTAATTTAAATTGTGAAATATCTTGCTGCTCGAAAATTCGTGGGAGAGGTCCATTGACATGCGCTTGAGATGCTCTATTTACATCATTCTGTTCAAACTTTTGAGACCGTGGGACTTTGCGTNATGAAATTTGCGTGTGAAGAGGATTGCAAAAATGATCCAGCTTCTTCTGAGAGCTTTGAGGTGATAATCATAATCCACAGTAGAAACTCAAGCAATATATTCTTGAGAAATCAAATATCATTTTTTTTTAATTCCCAGATGCCACAGAGTTTTCTTGAAAGCGGACAAAACCGGGTATGAATGATAAACGAGATATATTCTTTTTGAACTTTCTTCAACATTTGGTAATTTTTGAATTTTTGCAATTGCAGGTGGAAATTTTTCCGGGGGCAAAATTTTATTTATCATCTCTCAGCATGGCAGTGATTGATCGGAAAGTTGCAGATGCGGATAACAAGGATAAATGGAAAATACTTATTCGTCAAACTTTAATTCATGTTTATGGCAAGAAATTGGGCTTATTCAGTGCAAAAGGGGCAAAGGTCAATTCTAGACCATCCATCAATCGGCAATTATTCAGAGGACTTGTCGGTAGGACTCAATATTTGAAAAACTCTATAGTAGTTAAAAAGGTAACGAACGTCAACTGCAATTAATTCTCCGATTTTTGTTATAGCTCGAGCGCAAACTGTAAGTGATGAACCAATCGATGAGGAAACATTGACCAAATATATCAACAAAATGGCTTTCAATAAACGCAGGACATCGAAAGTTGTGATAAATTCTGAGAACTCGGAAAGCAGAAAACGAGCAGTGGCAAACAAAGGTAAAATGAACGATATTTCATACAAAAATTCGTTTCCATTCATAGATAACATGAATTATCCATTTCACAGGAAAATTGAGGAAAGATGTTGGCAGCTCGAGTGCAAATAATAACTTGGAAAATCACCCTCCGGCCCAACAACTGGCTAGTGTTGCACAAGCTATATACCAATCTCCATCAAATGATATCAATGGAAATTTGGGAAATCTTCATTCAACTCCACGACTGCAAGATGTGCACCTATCACCATTGATGCACTCCAATAGGTCAAACAATGATCCGCCTCCTCCTTCACCAGGGAACCTTAATGCCGAAAGTGGATATCACCCATCATTTTCTAGTAAGACAATTGTTAATTACCTATCAATACTTCTTGATTTTGTTTTCCAACTCCAAACATCATTCGCAAGGGAATAAAATACGCTTGGTTTTCCGGGGGAATATATAGAATATGTAGCAGAATAACACTTCTTTGCCTTGAAGAATCATTAAAAGAGTTATAAATTGGTTATTTTGAGACATGAGGGCCCCATCAATCAATAACTTGTTTTCTCAATATATATAAATGGGGGGAATCGTGTTTTTTCATCTAATTCTTGGAAGGATTCAAACCTCAGGTCTCATTCGAATCGTCAGTTTCATGGTAATTTATGATTAATTTCAATGAGAAATAAAACTATCCTGTTTCCTAGTAAAAAATGAATGGTGTCTGATGAATTTGAATGGGTGAGAGTCCATTGCAACGTATGATTGAACCACCATATATTTTCTATTATTTTGCTCAGGGATATTCGATGTTTATAAATACAAATCTTATTCGTGCTCAGGTTCTCCTCTCTTGATAAAAAGCTGCTCTCTTCTTACATTTTCACAAACATGATAATTGTGTGCATTATCGTTCTTTAACGAGACCTTTCAAATACTTTAAAATTATGTCTTCGATTAAACGATTTTCTTTGCCCTTGATTCAGCGTTCCATCATGTCGGACTGGACAGTCACTACGGAGTAGAGTTTGCTCACGCAATGGAATACTCAGGGAGGACAACTCCATTCTCAGGGAGTTCAGGACGAACCTATACGCAGTTGCATTGAGGACCATGAACGAGTTGTGCCTTGCTTTTACCGACAATTTAGTTTTCTGGAAAATTATGTTATGAATTATATTATTAATAAAAATGTATAATATATCAAGAATAAAAGATTCACCAAATAAAAACAAAATTGTTTATAAAGATCATTGACGACATTATGAGGCCAGATTGAGGGCCATCCAAATGATGAGGTTTGAGACCTAAGAGGTTCTGTTGAGTTTCTAGGGACTTTCTCATTCAGACCTCTTGACTGATAAAAGGGAAATAACTACCATTTCCAGGTCTATTTGAGAGTAAAAATCCAATGTCTTTCCCCGACCCATAGGGCGCATTTCAGCCTCATCGACCTCAGTTTGAAACTCACTATGAGGCTAGAATGGAGTTGAAAAACACGACTCGGGGATCTCTCATGGGTTCTACGTGCGATCTGTTGCAGTGGTAGATGTACTTTTCTGCACAGTTTTCGTAATGTTTGCATGTAATTTTCGTAAGGAAAGGCAGAAAAACCGTCCAATGGCCCGAAATTCCGAACATCCTCAACGAGATGTTTATGCCCGTAAATATTATATGAAGGAAAGGCTTCCCCATAAATATCAGCACAGCCATGAATCCATTCTTCCAGGGCAATTTCTGTGAATTGTAAGTCGAACTGTGATGGTGAAGGAGCTGTTAAACATCATAGAGAGGCATGATGCAATAAATAATGCTCATAAATGTAATCTTTGTAAATACCATGGTAGATCATTGGTCCTGTATACAAAATTAACTGACGTAATTCCGTACCTTTCATACGTGCATAATCAGTAATATTCCCTGGACGTCGTGCAAATTCGCGCGGACAATACGCCCGTAATTGATGCAATCGTGCATTAACAATTTCGATCTCTTGAGCGCTTAGTTTTACGGTTTTCGAGAAGTTATGCCCACTGCCTACAGTCGCCCATGTTTGACGTTTTGTTGCACCTAATAGACAAAGATGTAAGTATTCGAAGGGGACTTGTGCTACCAAATCAAATGGCAATCTTGCGAGCGAAGCAGGGCCGTGATGGTGTTCTTCGTTAGTTTGATTCCTATAGTCTTCGTCCGTTCTCGGGATACCTCTTTCATCACACTTTGAACAACAGTCATATCCAGTGCGTGCTTTGTGATATAAGGCGAAGGCTCTAGCGGGAGCATCGGCGAGAAAGCAGCGTAGTACGAGTCGAATTTTCTTCTCTTTCAGCATAATGCCTCCATTATCCAATATTTCGTTTGTTTCATCACTGAAATCTTCAAGAAATGCATCTGCACTAGCGGGTTTCTTCTTTCCTTTATAAATCCCAACCATCAAGGGCGGGCTCTGATCAATATTCACGATGCGAACTTGAAACGGCCACATACATATATATCCAGATTTATCGAGATTGGCTCCATCAGTACTGAAGTCCACAAATAAAAATTCTGGTATGGATGTATGTGGAATATTTTCTAAAAACTCTACTATTGTTTTTTTAACGCCCAAGTGCAAATATTCCCCAGGATCCACTTGTTTCAATGGAGTCGTAGTTTGAGGTGTACCAATCAATGTTCTGTGGTCAGCAGGGAGATGAGAGAAGCATGTATGTTGTCGGAGGAGTTTCAAGATGGCTGTCCCCTTTGATTGTTCCAAGTTAATCTCCAGGAATAGATTTTTCAACTTGTCGCGGAAGCTAAGCTCTTCATCGTAAGACCATGAGTTACTGTCACTCCAATCACTCCAACTGGCTTCATCGTCGCCATAGTCCGAAAAATCATCCATGACTGGATTGTCGAAGGCTTGAGCATCACCACTGCGAGGTGGATGTGGTGGCTCCTCCCCATCACTGTACCAGATGTAATCCATGTCGCAATGCATATTAAATCCTGTATGATATTGAGGAAATTTCAATTAATGATGGAAAAGATAGTTAACATGCAGATTGAGGACTAGATAAGACATATTATTTGAGTGATCGCAACAGAACTGGTAATGACGATGGGAACCGTGGAATTATAAATAGAAAACCGGAATACTACTTGGTCATAAGACGACGAGGTATTTTTCCTCCAGCCAGGGAGATTATGAGACCGATAATTATTCAGTAGCCTATGAATTGTCTTCTACGGATTTGACAGCTATCCCCCGCATTTTCGTGAAGCGTGTTATGTAACCCCAATCCCTGTACTCTGATCAGCCAATTCAGAAAGAAAAAAAAATCGGCCAAATAACCCTGGAACTTCAAAATTCCTCGGATATTTCCCACAACCTTCACTGTGTTGCAGCGATCGGGCTAAGTTTCACCCTATAAAGCTTGAATATCGATGCTACGTAGGGGAATTAAAGGCAACTATCCAATTAATCCTGAAGGTCGAGGGGTTTTTGGCTGAATTATTTTTTTACCTCGATTTCAGCCGATGGAATGTGCGACATTCCACTTCATTAAAGCGCAAGTAAGACGGTTTTATTAGGAAAAGTGAAATTATGTTTGGGGTTTGAAACGAGCATTATTCGTTTATTGGATTTTTTTATTGATTAAAAACGAACAGGGATCTATCTGATGCAGAACTGTCCTATTTGTACCACGTGACGTGAAATGCCACTATTCCCTTGGTCGCGTGGGTATGACGGGTGATCAGTTAACGAGTCCAGAGGAGGTGTTGTATTGGATGAATGTTATATTTATTCTTTTTTACGTAGATTTATTTACCCAGTTGAGATGTAAGGCTTCGACCATCTGTGTGGGAGATGGAGTCGAAGTGACTATTTGTAATTGATGTAGTATTGCACTAGATGAATAGGTAAGTAGTACTAATTTGTTTTCGTAAGTGTCACGATACTTAAGGAAATTGAGGATAGTGTATCGGGTTGTGATTGGCCAGGAAATGAGGGAAGGGGTATTAGAATACTCGTTTCCTATTGGTTCGGTGGTCACGACGCCTCGAGCTAATCGCTGATTGGCTTGGCGATCTAGATGGGGAATATTTTGGGATATACCTGACAGCGGGCCGTCAGGTATGTCCCAAAGGATTATCGAGGGGCCGTCGGGTAATCATGAGGGACTAGTCAGAGGACGACGGCTTATGGTAATAACTAGCGATGCAAAATGACCGTCATTTTTGAGATTGCAGCATATGACCAAAAAATGACGGTCTTGTGACGGTCATGTGACGTCACAAATGTTCTATGGACAAATGACAGTCACAAATTTTTTGTGATGGTCAAAAAAGTAAAATATTCATGTCCGCGGGTAAAGCATCTATATAGATGAATAATGACGGTGATAAGTACTTTTCAATTTGTGACGGTCATTTTATTCATATAAGTCAGCTTGTTTGGAAGAGCGCGGCAAAATGAGATCCGAAGGAGGTTGAAAAATCGTCGATAACTCGAGGTCCACAGAGCGAAATAACACGAGAGTCAGAGACAAAATAAATTAAAATTAATGGAAAAAAAAGTTCCATCTATATAGAAGAAAAATAAGCGTCGTATTTTTTCGATTAATTATGACCGTCACGAGATAAATATTTGTGGCGATCTGGCGGTCATTGGGGTCTGGCACATGACCGTCAATGATGGCCACATGACCGTCATATGACAGGTCACATGACGCCTTCGCATCTCTAGTAATAATCGTAAACAGATCAAGGTGTTGTGGGACTGATTGGAAAAGTATTTACAAGTCCCGGTGGACGTTTTATGTTTTTATGATAGGAAAGTTTTGGATGATTGGATAGAGTGAGTGAGAGGGATTCGTGGAATTTGTGACGCTCGGATTTCCGAGAAAGGTTTGGGGAAATTTCTGTGTGTAAGACAGAGACATACTGAAGACATAGTCATCACAGTCGAAATTAAGATGAAAAAAAATATTATAATCATGGTTATTATGAGCAACATCAATGAGTGAATTGAAAAATGGCGTGGTATCGATTTTTCTGGGTTCATCTTCATTTTTTGGACTTGAGAACAGACGTGTAGTCGATGCTGACAGAGATACGAACCCAACGAAAATGAAATTGACCAAATACACTGTGAAATATTGTGTTGACGCAAAACGAGACGAGACGAGACGAGTATAATAACAATTCCGTTGGAATAAATTTTCTTCTCGCGTTTCAAAGTTTTCGACAGCCAAGTAACACACCCCTGATATGATTTTTTAGTGTACTCAAACTGCTTAAACCTTAATGTTTTTATAGGAGTATCACCGAAGGCTACCACAGTAGCCTCACACATTTCTTCAAAGCAATGCAACACACAGAAAAACCTATACTTGATTCATGTGATAGTCTGGTGCTTTTTTTCCGGCATAACAAAATTGATGTTAGGGTGTTAATTTTTCCATCGCTCTAAACGCATACCCGGGTAAATTATATGGCAGATGAATTAGACAAATAGGGAGTGGAATAGTGGGGTAAAACGGGATATAACGGAATAAAATAGAATGACGGAGAATATATAGAGTGGGATGGCAGATGTGACCGCCCCCCCCCTTGTACCGGTACTTGGAAGGCTTAAAATCTTGCAATTTAGATTTGTAAAAATGAAAAAAAAAAAATCAGACGCTAATGCCGCAAAGCCACTCAAATTTCCGAGAGAAAAAATATGAGAAGGAAAAATTAAAAGCTTCCAACGAAACATTGTAAATTTCAAATTAGGAGATGAAAAAAAATAAAAAACAAAGTTAAAGGTACCCGTAAAAATCATTAAAATTGCTGTGTCCAATCTCAATGTACAATGAGCATAACAATCAGAACAGAATGAGCATTCCCCTCTTCAGCATCCTTGACCACAATAAACAGAATACAATGGGCCTTATTCTCCTCCGAGAAACCCCTCGACCTCACAGCTTTCGGGGGAGAGTACTCCCCTCATTCTTCTTCTTCTTCTCCTTAACTTTTCCATCCCCTTTATCTGGCTTCTTCTTACTCCCTTTCGCCACCCCTTCAGCTCTATTCTCCTCGACCTTGAGCTCCTCAGTCCCCTGAAGAATCCTCCTGACCTCCTGGGACTCCAGCCCAGAGATAGACTTCCCACAATCATCTCTCCTCATCCTCTTCCTCTTATTCACCTCCCCATTATCATTTTTCTTCGGTCTTCCTCGTTTT